TAAAGCAAGAGATGCCACGTAAGCTTTCCCTATGACCAGGCTATGACTTCTGATTTTTCTGGTTATTCACTTCTGATGCTCTCACTTGGGGCTGACATGGCTGGCTATTGACATTGATAGTGACATGGACAGTGTGGCTGGGACTGGGTAAAGAAGGCCCTGTGAAAGCTGGGGGCGATTTGGCCTTGATGATGGGGGTACCTAAAGGCCCAGCCCCTTTCCCTCTTGCTAATATAGGGACAAGTCAAAGAAGAAGAAGAAAGTAAAGGTAAAGATGGAAAAGAAGTCAACACCCTCCAGGGGCTCGTCATCCAAGTCGTCGTCAAGGCAGCTGAGTGAGAGCTTCAAGAGCAAAGAGTTTGTGTCCAGCGACGAGAGCTCTTCAGGAGAGAACAAGAGCAAAAAGAAGAGAAGGCGGAGCGAGGTACAGCAGGAGTTTGGGGGCTGTGGGGCCTGGAAGGGCGAGGGGCATCTGAGTCGGCAGTGGAGGTGGCGACAGATGGGCCAGGGGTTGTGGTTGGTTCTTAAGAATAACGGGATGGAGTGGATAGGTGGAATTCTGGGGTTCTAAAGACTAGTTCTGGAGTTTGGGGAGGCGATAGGGAATCGGGGGCCTTTCACCACTGAAAAGTAGCTGGGAGGGTAACCAGGACTCTACACTTTTGTCCTGAAAAGACATTTGGTTTTCAGGACTCTGAAGAAGAGGAACTAGCCAGTACTCCCCCCAGCTCAGAAGATTCGGCATCAGGATCTGATGAATAGAGAGGAGGAAAATTCTCTCTCCTTGGCTTTGCCCTGTCACACCCCCAGTCTCTCCACCCGTGTTTTGGTACCAGTTTCTCCCCATATGAAATGTAATCTCTGGATTCTGTGCCATCTGAACAAGCTTTCCTGGTGATATGCACTTGGCTGGGACAGCACGGGAGGCGTCTTGGCTGCTGATTCACAAGGATGCCTCTTTATAATTTGGGGAGAGATTGGGTGGGAGGCAGGGCAGTGCAGGAACCAAATCCTTGTCCTACTTTCCCAACCTTGGGGATATAGCTGCTTCTTGTCCTGTTCAAGTTGCTGCAGCAGGGGTCATAGGAGGTCAGGCCTGTAGCTCCTTACTGGGGCCTATTTCTACTTTTATTTTGTATTTCTGGTCTGTGAAAATCAACATTTAATAAAGGGAACTGACTTTGGAAACCATGTCCTCATGCCTTCTCTCTAGCCCTGTATCGCGCCTATTTTTCTCGGTAGTGTTTACCACACGGCTCTGACTGGGCAAGGCCTTTCTGGCCAGCCGGGAAGCAAGCCTCCAGGTACGTCCTGTGCTGTTCCCAGCTGGACAAGCATTGGTTTTCACCCTCCTTTGCCGGGATGGGCCACCTGAGAGTCTAGAAACGAGAGCTGATCTGATTAGGAAGTCTCTCTCACAGTTCTACTCCATTAGCTAAGCTAAGGGGAGGCAGCCACTGGCTCCATCCTTAATCACCTATGAGCCAAGGGTCTTCCAAGGCTTTACATAATAGAATCACGATTGATTGGCCTCTCTGCAACCAGGAGAATGGAAACCTGATCCTGGAGAGTTAGGAGAATGAGCGGTGGAGGGTGGGGGTGCAGTGTGATGATGCAGGAAAGGTACGGAGTATGGGCGAAGTGCTTTTTATGGGAGAAAAGGGTTGTATCAGATTTTGAGGTCAGGAAGGATTTATATCGGGGAAGGGGGTTATAACAGGAGATAAGGGGGATTAGTGAAAAAAATAGTTTCCAGTCTCCCTCACGGTGGCTCTACATCTGATTTTATACACGTGGGATGGCCACGTTGCATAGTTTCTCAGGTGTTTGCCACAGGAAGCCTCTCCAGTCCGCCAATGGTTACCTTCTTTCTCGCCGTGACTCTATGGTGCTGCAATCATTTCAGGCCGTTGGGCTTGAGGATTGGGGCCGTGCCTTAAGTCTCTCTAGGCAGTCGTCTCGGTGGCCATTTTGCCCCAGCGCTTTTAGCTGCTGAATTGCGTCAGTTTGTCACCCGGGTCTGAGCCTGGGGCGGACCCCTCATTACCAAGACTCATGAATAATTGAGTCCTTGGGCTGCACCTATTTGCATACGATCGGGCGAGCTCTGCACGGGCTTCCCACTCCAGGTTTTCACTGGTTCATGGATATTCATGAGGGGCTCCGGGGGCGTGGGCCTGGGCGGGGCTGGGGTCGGGGCCCCGCCGGGCTCGC